AAACTGCAAATCCCACAAGTGTAGATTGAAGTAAATTTGTGACTCGCTGTTCATTGACTCTAACAGGTAAATAAGCCTCTATGTGTTTTTCGGGGTCAAACTTGCATCTTCACACCAAACTGAAACGCAGCTTTTGGCATGGCTTCCTAATGTCGCCCATTCCTCTTCTGTCTCAAAGTCCCACCTATGAAGCCAACCCTTTTCCTGTTTTATACATATTACATAATTAACATATTTCATCTCCCATTAACATACAATTGTAAATGAAAAAAAACACTTACTCGACACCATATCCATTTTTTGGATAAATCAGCTTCATCATCACTATCAACAACCTCACGATTATATTCTTGATAACCCGGATAACATTCTGAATAGCTCTCGGATATAAAATTCGGATCTTTCTTACGAGCATATTTTTACCTTAAATGTTGAAGCCTTGTATCATCCCGCTTAAACACCGACCCTAAACCTCTATCTTTCTCTTCTTGTGTCATTAAATGTGGGTCCCCTTCTATGGTCAAACCTCCTTGCATATTATACATTTGACCATCTTGGTGGACATATTGTTCGGGGTACCCCATCGGCTCCACATATTGATACTCCTACTGCCACTCTCCCTGATAGCCTTGTACTTGCATATCATCATACCCATTATAAAAATTTGGTAAATTGTTAAGCAAGGTGAGGGTAAAATATTAAATAAAAGTATTTTGCTATTTTTCTCACTGTTTGTTGCCAGTCTTGAGATGGGTCCGAGGGTGGAACAGGGCCATAAGCTGGCTCATTGAAATTGGAAGGTCTCTCTTTTCTTTTAGGAGATTCTTCCATGTCTTCTGACAATGGGCTTTGGCTTATATCTTTACTAGGGACAGAATAGTCAATTCCTTCTCCTACAAAGATGTCATCCTCCTCAACACGAGCAACAGGGGGCTCCACTTCAACTTTCTCTATTTCATCGGAATGATTGCTTCTGGGAGGTGGTGGTGGTGGTGGTGGTGGACCTGGTGGTGGTGGTTACACAATTGTTCTGTTCATTACTCAATTTTCAGATGGTTGCTTCATTCATCAGGTTTTGCAAATCAGCTCATGTGAAACCTGGTGTTCTCCTAGCAACCTTATCAAAATCCACATCTTTTGCAAGTGATTTTCCCCTTGAATGCACCTGTGCAACATATAAGAAACTTTAGATGCTTTTTTCTTTTTGACTAATTTCATGATCGAACCTGAAGGATCCTGACTCTACCAGCAACATCAGGCCGGTCAACTGTCACCTATCGGTCAAACTGCCCAGGTCTCAACAAATGTTGTTCCCCATTCCCTGAAAATATAATCATTTACAAATTATTAAAAAAAATAGAAGAAAATAAGCACATTGCTAATATAGGAAAAAAAAATACCTGATAATAAAGATCGATATGATCTGAGATAGATGAAATTAATATAAATACTTATAATTTGTTTAGATTTTTGAATGCAATCTTTTCTTTATTTTTAGATGGATTCCACCCAAAGTATCCTTGTTTTTACCTGCTATTAATCTTTACAAATTATTGATGACACAAACTGCTGTCCAATTTTTTTTTCCCGTTTCCTGTACCAAGGGTACTTTAGGTATTTCATATTATGAGTCATCATCTACAACGTTTTTATTAACAAACCAGATTTGGAGGTTTTATTTATCCAACAATCCAAATCAAATTTTATATCATAGCTGAGTTTTTTCAACCCTTGAATGCATGTTTTTATTAACAAACCTGAAACATCTATTTCTGCAGCTTCAACTTCAACTTCAACTTCCTCCTCCACATCTATTTTTGCAGCTGATATCAATGTCACTCCTCTAAGACAGGTACACCATTACAAACTCAACATAACTTAATAATGTTTTTTAGAACATTTGTGCTAAATGACCACTATACCCTTCTGTTTGTCTAATTCATATGGACTTAATGTGAGTAAATCACCATTTTACCCTTCTTGTTTTGTGTATTTACTTATCGACATAGATATGAACTTCGTTAACAATTGGATCGTCTCAGATCTAGAGAGAGAGAGACAGAGAGAGAGAGAGAGAGAGAGAGAGACGGTCATAATTATCCAGATTTCTGGTGATGGTTACAAACTTCTTTTCTTCAAGAGACTAAACGTGCAACATTTAAACTTATAATGGATAGTCTGAGTTGATTTTTAAAAAATATGAATTTAAACTTATAATGGATAGCCTGAGTTGATTTTAAAAAAATATGAATTTAACGTACAATTTGAAACTTGCATCAGGGACCAACTTTGTAATTTACCCAAAAAAAATATAAAAAATTAAATACTCTTCTACATTTTGTTTTTACATATCTTTCTACTTATATATAATAATAACATATGGACAATACACCACTAATTTACTTTTAATTACATCTTTTAAAATTGATACTTGTCTTGATATAAATAAAAATATGAAGATATTTAATTTACCACTAATTTACTTTTAATTACATCTTTTAAAATTGATACTTGTCTTGATAGAAATAAAAATATCAAGATATCTCAAAAAATATTGTAAATATGAAGCATGATGACCTCAGACAAAATTCACTTAGACAGTTGTATAAAGGGCTATTTTTAAGTTTAACCATTTTTACCACGATTTCCGCCGATTAAATATTGACAAGTTTAAATGTATAGTCATAGAATTTGGAATTTAAGTTTATCAAACTAATTTGACAACTTACATATTTTGGGAAAATCTATCCAGGTAGGTACATGGGTGTCACAAACTAAACATATTGTTGACTTGTTTAATTATTTTGTTAATACGGTTTTTTTACTTAATTTCCTTATTTTATTTGTTAAATTAGTAAATGAACAATATATTATATTTAACTTATAGTTCTAAACCCAAATCTGAAATTAATAATATTTGATTTTATATGATCAGTAAACAAAACTTCATCGACCCAACCCAATGATGAATCACACATGAAAAGAATTTTACGAAGTGAGAAGTTATAACTATGACAAAAGAAAAAGCCCAAGAAGAAAATATGCCAAATGGCAAATACTAGTTGGCTTGATTGGCTCATGGATAAAGATCGATATGATCTGAGATAGATGAAATTAATATAAATACTTATAATTTGTTTAGATTTTTGAATGCAATCTTTTCTTTATTTTTAGATGGATTCCACCCAAAGTATCCTTGTTTTTACCTGCTATTAATCTTTACAAATTATTGATGACACAAACTGCTGTCTAATTTTTTTTTTCCCGTTTCCTGTACCAAGGGTACTTTAGGTATTTCATATTATGAGTCATCATCTACAACGTTTTTATTAACAAACCAGATTTGGAGGTTTTATTTATCCAACAATCCAAATCAAATTTTATATCATAGCTGAGTTTTTTCAACCCTTGAATGCATGTTTTTATTAACAAACCTGAAACATCTATTTCTGCAGCTTCAACTTCAACTTCAACTTCCTCCTCCACATCTATTTTTGCAGCTGATATCAATGTCACTCCTCTGAGACAGGTACACCATTACAAACTCAACATAACTTAATAATGTTTTTTAGAACATTTGTGCTAAATGACCACTATACCCTTCTGTTTGTCTAATTCATATCTATTTTGATTCAGCCTATTGACATGTTCAACATTTAGGAAAACAAAAATAAAAAAACATGGATTGGTTGTAATTATGAAGATTGATTACAACATTTAGTATCTATACCCAATCTATATGCATGATTAAGATAGTCATATGACAAATAACTAAAATTACAAGAATAAATATTATCCATCTCCAACATTTACCTCCACAATACAATAAGCACAATGAATATACTTTGAAATGTTAATGACTTCATTTTTTTATTAATAGATTATATAACATAGTCACTTGTGTAAACATATTAAAGCTCTATCTTATTCTTTGCTATATGTCTATCACTTAGAATTTATTTGATTACTTTCTCTCCTTTCCGGTTCTTGTTTATTCCCAAGGATTTATTGTCATCCACTTCTTCTTATTTTGTTGTAGCTAGTTTTTATCTAATCTCTATCTAGGTTCTGAATAGTAGTTATATATTTTGTTGTAGCTAGTCATTATGTCAACACGTAGTGATAGAGATTGGATGTACAAAAGATTAGATCATGGGTATCTTAGCATAGCATATCATGCATCCGTCAAAGGATTTCTAGATGTTGCTTTTTCTAATGAAGCAACTGTTGATGGGATTATATTAGATGTCCTTGTTTTAAATGCAAGAACATGTATTATAAAACAAGAGGTGATGTAGAGCTTCACTTGTTACAAAACGGTTTCACTCCTAATTACACAACTTGGTGGGCACATGGTGAAAGAAATACGATATCTCAGCATGAGGAAGAATCTTCTAATCCGATGCAGGATCCGATGGAAGATGATGATGATGATGATCTTAATGGGTGTACACAAATGTTGATGGATGTAATGGAGGAACTCCCGAATCCAACTGCCAAGGGGTTCTATGATATGTTAGAAGACGCTGATGAACCTTTGTGGGATGGATGTGAAAATTATTCAAAATTACAAGCTGCAACAGAGTTGTTGCATTGGAAGTCAGAATACAATATATCTGAGGCTGCTATGATCACATACTTCCTATAATTAAGCGATGCTACCCAAAGGTGAGAAACTAGTTGAGAACTTCTATGAGACGAAGAAGCTTTTGAAAATAATTAGACTCCCAGAAAAAAAGATTCATGCTTGCAAAAACCATTGCATGATATTCTATGGGGCAGATTCGATTTGACTAAGTGTCGGTGTGTGATCATGATCGGTACAAGAGTGGCAGACTGCCTTATCTGGTTATGAGGTACTTGCCGATTGCTCCTAGACTCCAAAGGTTGTATTTAACAAAAAAACGGCAAAGCAAATGAATGGCACTATGAACATCAGACAAACCGGGTTTGATGGTCCATCCAAGTGATGGTGAGGCTTGGAAGCATTTCGACTTAATGCATCCAGAATCTTCAAGTGAACCACGGAATGTTCGCCTTGGGCTATGCACCGATGGGTTTAGTCCAAATAACTCAAATACAACCCCGTATTCATGTTGGCCTGTTTTCCTTTCAATTTATAACTTGCCTCCTTGGATGTGCTTAAAAGAACCATATGTTCAATTAAGCATAGTTATTCCTGGAAAAAAGATCCCAGGTCAAAATATAGATGTGTTTCTCAGGCCGCTAATTGACGAGTTAAAGATGCTATATACAGATGGTGTTGTGACTTATGATGCTTCGACTAAATGCAATTTCACAATGAAAGTTATACTTCTTTGGACAGTTAGTGACTTTCCTGCTTATGCAATGTTATCGGGATGGAGCACACATGGCAAGTTAGCATGTCCGTATTGTATGGGTGAGTCGGGGTCTTTCGGTTACACCATGGTAGTAAACCATGTTGGTTTGACTGCCATCGAAATTTTTACCTGAACAACACACATATAGGGTGACAAAACAGGATTTCTGGCTAATAAGGTTGAGCGATCTAGCCCCCCACCAATATTAACCGGTGATCAGATTTGGGAGCAAGTACGACACTTTCCAACTGTTTATGAAGGCAAACCTTTTAGAGCGAAGAATGCAAAATTGCCTGGTTTCGGATTACTCATAATTGGGTTAAGAGGAGCATCTTTTGGGAGCTACCATATTGGCGGAAGTTGTTAATACGACACAACCTTGATCCCATGCACATTGAGACAAATGTGTTTGAAAATCTTTTCAACACCGTGATGGACACTCCGAAAAGCAAAGACAACATGAATGCAAGAAAAGATATAGAAATGTATTGCAATCGAGTGCAATGGCATACATGGAAGAAGGGAAATAAGGATATGAAAAAGAGCATCGTTTTCTTTGAGCAAAGAACAAGTAGCTAAAATATGCCAATGGTTGATTAAACTTAAATTCCCGGACGGATACGCCTCAAACTTGGGGGGGGGGGTGCGTTAATGTAGATGATAATAGCTTTTACAAATTCAAGAGTCACGAGTGCCATGTATTTCTTCAAAGATTGTTGCCTATTTCTCTAAGAGGTATGGTGCCAAACTCAACATGGGATGCAATTACAGAGTTGTGTACATTCTTTCGTGTAATATGTTCAAGGGTGTTACGCGTAGATGACTTACAACGCTTGCAAACTACTATTGTTGAAACCATTTGCAAGTTGGAAAAAATATTTCCACCTGGATTCTTTGATTCAATGGAGCATCTTGTTATCCACTTAGCTCGAGAAGCTATGCTTGGTGGTCCGGTTCAATATAGGTGGATGTATCTTTATGAAAGGTATATTTTTTACCATACAAAATATTCTACCATAAAACCTATGGAATTTCTAATAAGTCTTTTCCAACATCTTTTAGGAAATTGGGATCAATGAAAAGAAAGATAAAAAACCATGCAAAGGTTGAGGGTCCATTGTTGAGGCTTACATGATTGGAGAAATATCGACTTTTTGCTCACAATACTTTTTGCCTACAATTGAAACCCGGTTGAATCGTGAGTCGCGTAATTTTGCCCCAGACATTCCTAGTTATACCATGGTCGACTCTCGATTAAGCATTTTCAAAGTTCCATCTCGAAGATTATTCGAAAAAAGTGGTCAACGGAGGCCTTTGACAGATGATGAGATGCGTATTGCTCATAATTACATCTTGATCAATTGTGTTGAGGTTCTACCTTTTTTAAGGTATGTCAAGTTATCTATTTTTCCTTGATTTCGTGAAACTCTAAAATTTTTGTTATTTTTTAAGGTTGTTTGAAAATTATGTGATCCAAAGCCAACCTGATATGGATGATGGAGCATTTGAAAGGTTTAGGGATCAACATTTTGCTAAGTGGTTTAAAGATCATGTGAGTATGATACGAGAAAATTTTGTATTACCAAAGTGTCTTCCCCTGTGAATTAGTTAACAAATGAATTTATCAATGTAGGTTTTTCAACAATCAAATTATATCAATCAACATTTGAAATGCCTTGCACGAGGACCATTACGACATGTTAGGTCATATAAAGGATACTTTGTCAATGGTTACAAGTTTCATACTGAAAAATATGGTGATGGACGGGTCACACACAATAGTGGTGTATGTGTAAGAGGTACTTGTTACAATGAGACTGAGTGTGACTATTATGGGTTGTTGGATGAGGTCTTGGAAGTAGAATATCAAGGCATAGGGCGTTGTGTCGTAGTATTGTTCAAGTGTACATGGTTTAACCCTACTGAAGGGGTACGTGTGGATCGAAAGCATAATTTGGTTGATATTAAATACAAATCAAGGCTAAGAAATGAAGATCCGTTTATCCTAGCGTCACAAGCAGAACAAGTGTATTATGCACCATATCCTGCAATGAAGGATTTGAAAGATTGGTGGGCTGTCGTCAAGACGAAACCAAGGGGTGTATATGATCTACGACAATGTGTTACTGAAGAAGATGATGATGAGGATGAAGAGGACCAATTCTTTCAAGAAAGTGAAGCGACTTTACCTTCTACAAGTAGCGGTGCAAATGAGGTGGCAGGACCCCTTTCTCATGTAATTGAAGGAGAAATAGAAGAAGTTAATGACAATGACATTGAGAGAGAAGAGGATGAAGAAGTTGATGATAACTTGGATGATTCATCCGAAGATGATATTGAAGATGAAAACATATGTGATGATAATTCTGATGATGAGTAATTACTAAAAATGTAGAATGAAACAATGTATTTGGAACTATATATTTTGCCTAATGGACCTTATAAATAACTTTTTAGCTAAAATGATCGTTTTCTTTTTCTATATACATTGCACTTTCATTTATTTGTGTATTATAGCATGTTACCTTCTCTTACTTCTATAATTTTCTATTATAATACATACTTGTTCTAACCAATAGTTTATTAATTCTTGATTTTAAGGGTTATTTTTTGACTAATGGCGCAACGAGGAGCCCGTGGTGGTGGTCGCAGTGGTAGTCACATTAGTGGTCGTGATGCTGGAGATAGAAATGCATCCCAATCATACAATGATGCAGAAAGTCAACCTTCTTCTTCAGTTAGAGGATCAAACATCTTAGAACAAGTTCCAAGTAACCCATCAAAAAGGAAGTTCATTGAAGTCGATTCTGAAAAGGAGTACTAAAGTTAATTTTACAATTGTTTATGAAAATGAATTTACTTGTTAATGATAATACTAATGCTAATTTTTTAATTTTTAATTTTTTGCAAGATTTACGGATCAGATTTCAGTGATCAGAGCCATCACATGTATACTGAAGACGATGTTTGACGGCCCATGGACCTCATGGAAGAAGGTTGACAAAGAACATCGTGATGCAATGTGGGAACACTTCAAGGTTTGTACTTATTATTTTTATGATTTATCAAAGTAAAAATTGGTATAAAGTGAAAAAGATAATTGTATGCGTGATCTACATGTAGGGTTTGTATGTTTGGCCCGAAGAGACTGATGTTCTTGCTCGCAAGGTATGGGAAGACTGTATGAAGAAACGATTTCCTGACGTAATGCGAAGAGCACGTGAAGCATCTTTAAAACTTGCCAAAGCTGCAAATGTGAATGCCTCACTAGAAGGTGATTTAAATTTGCTAAAGGACTATCGCCCAAATTGGATAAAAAAGGAGTATTGGGAAAAAATGATCAATGAAGTGTGGACCACATCCAAATGGAAACGTTTATCACAATCAGGGAAAAATAACAGAAATAAATTAGAAGATGGCTCTGTTTCCAAACATACCGGGGGTTCTATATCTATTCGTCAACATAAGAAAAGAATGGTAAGATGTTTGCATCTCACGTTAGTTTCCACTTAGATTGTTGAGTTTTTGTTTTGTTTTTTAATGTATTACTAATGGATTTTGTAGCAAGCAATTTAAACGCCCTCCTACAGGAGTTGAACTTTATGCAAGGTTGCACACTAAACGGTCTACTCAAGAGTACATTACACCAAAGGCAGCTAAAGTTAAGGTATTTTCAATTCTTTTGTAGGAAACAAAACTTCCTACTACTCGGGTTAATGACTTTGTTAAAGCAACTAATTGACAGAAAACAAATCTTTCGTAAGTAGTAATCAACTAAATGTTTGATCCTCTGCCTAGTTGTAATTAAGTGTTTTGTAAGTAGTAATCAACTTTATGCAAGGTTTGAGTATTATGAATTTAATGGGATGGAATGAACCATTCTATTCCTTATTTCATGTTACTATTTTTTCATATTTTTTTTTGCTATAATAGGAGGCTTATGAAAGTGCTATGGTGGCTAAGTTTGGTGATGATACTAGTTGCCACCCCCTCTTGGATAATGAAACATGGTGTGATGTTTCCGGAGGAGTCAAGAAAGGAAGAATATATGGATTCGGATCTGTGTCTGATCCAGCGAGCTTTTTGGAAGGAACATCTAGTACAATAACATCCCAAGAGGTTCGTTTAATTTTGTACTTTATAAAAATTTCCTATCATAGCATTGTACTTACAAAGTTTCCTATCATGGCATTGTACTTGAAAAGTTTCCTGTCATGGCATTGTACTTACAAAGTTTTCTATCATGGTATTATACTTACAAAGTTTCCTATCATGGCATTGTACTTACAAAGTTTCCTATCATGGCATTGTACTTACAAAGTTTTCAATCATGGTATTGTACTTTAGGTTGTCTATGAACGTGTACGAAACGAGATGCGTGGCGAAATGGATGCTAAAGCTGCAGAAATGGAAGCTAAACATCAACAAATGCGTGAGGAAATGGATGCCAAAGCTGCAGCAATAGATGCCAAACAACAACAAATTGATGCAAAATATGAAGCAATGGAAAAGATGTATGCAGCCTTGCAAAATATGATGGGAAATTGAAAAGTAAGGTAATATGATGTTAACCATTAGTATTTGATGTTTTTGAATGACTTGTTAACCTTTTGTATTTGATGTTTTTGATTGTTTTGAATAATGTTTTATAGGAATGAGAACCGAAGATGATTGGATGGACATGAAACGAAGATAGCAGCTAAAATGTTATTTTGAAGGTTAAACTTTTTTCTGTTTGTACCTCTTTTGCATACTTTGGATTTCTTGGTTCTAAAATGTTATTTTGAAGTTAAACGTTGGGAGTTTGATGTTATGTGGATAGTTTCGTTTTTGGATGTTTCTTGAATGACACTTTGGTAAACTTTGATAATTTTGGTATTGTAATGCTTGGTTGTATCATTATTTGATGTTCTTTAGTATAATAATTTGATGATTGTAGTATTTTTTTTCTTTTAGAATCATAATAAAAAAAAATGATATTACAAGTTCGTGGTGAGAAAATAAAAAGTATTTTAATGCATGAATTTTGCGAGGGATTAGCTACGGAAAAAAAAAATCATGTCTAAAGTGCGACGGATCAGCGACGGAAAGGAAAAAAAATTTAATGTATGAATTTTGCAAGGGATTAGTGATAAAAAAATTCATGTCTAAAGTTTGCGATAGATCAGCAACGGAAAAAAAAATAGTGTATGAATTTTGCAAGGGATTAGCTACGGAAAAAAAAAAACTGTTCATGGAAATTTGCGACAGAACAGCGACGGAATGCATTGAGTGACATTTAGTGACATTTAGCGACAGATATTCTGTCGCTACCTTTGTGGCAAGGAAAAACCCAATCCGTCGCTAAAACCGTAGCTGAGAAATTAGCCACCTTTTTATTACCTATGGAGTGAATCTGTCGCTGATCCATTGCAAACAGCATTTAGCGACGGAATAGCGACGGATTTTTCCGTCGGTAAAACCCATGTTTCTAGTAGTGTTTTGTGTTCATTTTCATTTACCAATTAAAAATACTAAAAACATGATGACCTTAAGAACGCAAAGAACAATCATCTTCTTCCTAACCTAAATATTGATTTTTCATATACATAAACCTTCAAATCCATAAGTTTTTATCTTTGCAAATCATTGTTGAATCATACTTTGCAAGTTGAATTGTTGTTAACGTTGAGCAAATATGATCATTCTAGCTATTTTAGGCTAAATCAACAAATTTTATACGTAAATTGTAATATAAACTTCAGATTATGTTAATTAGTAAAAGTCATAGGTTGGCCATTCATAGCATTCCGATGAATGAGGTTTGGACTTCCCATTCCGAATTGGTGAAAATTGCGATGTTTAGTCATTTTTTCTTTCAATACGGTGAACTAACGTTCTTTCTAATCTACTACTTTGCATAAAATATTATCTGGGGGTTGCTTTATGAATGTTATGATTTGAGTTTTTGAAATTAAGGAACTATATAGTGTGGGATTATGGAGGTAAAAATATTTTGCACTAAATGAGTTTTCTTTTATTTTTCTAAGAAATTATTAGGATATTCTTGGAAATAACTTTGTTTGAAGCTATTAATGAGTTTAAAAAGTCAATTTGGATCTTGAATGGATATAATCAATATTTCATTGCCCTTATCTACAAGGTTAGTAATCTACTATGCGTGACTGATTCTATAGTACTTTCATCGATCGAGAACTTAAAATAATTACTACTAGTAAAGCTAATATATTCAGACATGTAGTTTCTTCGGTTGTGAGTCTAGTTAGACTCAGGTAACTATTTTTTTAGAATGAAAAATATATAATTGAAAGATAGCTAGAATCTAGACAAAATAAACAATTATATTGAAGCAATAAACAAAATTGGGTCCTCCGGAACACAATTGGCATTAGTTTTACAACACCAACCATCAACCTAAAAGAAACCTTGAGAAATCATCTTATCAAATAACAAGCATTTTTTTGGCTTAATTTTACCAAAAAGAAAAAAAATTCTAAAGCACCAAATCGACCACGAGAGAGTGTAAAAAACAGTCTCTAGAAACTGATGACAAATAGAAGACAAACGTAGCAAGCCAACCTAGTGAATCAAATGTTGCACTGAAGACTGAGAAGGCATATGAATATTTGACCATCTACAAAAAAAATTCAATAAGTTGGTAGCCAATTCACATTTAAAGAATAAGTGAGTGACAATCTTGACTTCCTTCTCGCAAATAGGACAAAAACATTAACTTTTATAGGAGTGACACGGCACCATCTAGTTGCACAATTAGACCAATAAGAAAATGCTTATCAATTTCTGATCTCATAGAAGACACATCCAAAACCATCAAGGGACCAACTCCGCCTATCCGAAGATGAAGAGATGATAACCAAGGATATGAAATCTAAGAAATCGGACCACTACTCTTTCTCTATACCCCCTCTCGGGTTTCTTCTAAAATAAGTAACCTAACCCGGTTGTTAGATCCTCAAAGAAACAAATATTTGCTTATCCAATGCGAGGGAATATAATCTATGGAAATAATTTTTTAAAGGGTGGTTACCAATCTAGTGGTCTCCCAAAAAGAAGTAAGCTTCCCATCTCCAATCACCATTTTGCAAAAAGACATAAGATCAATACCTTTAGAAGTAAAGAATCAACTATTGATTCCTAAATGGAGTTACCAACACTCCTTAGTGAAGAATAACCAAGTAACCATGTCCTCCATTAATGGATTTAATCACTTTAACCTCAAGAACAATGGGAAACGAAAGAAACCGCCAAATCCATTTATAAAGAATAGCACTGTTGAGAGAAAAAAGGCTATTAACCCCGAGACCACCATATTGATTTTCAGCTAATAACTCTTTTTAAACCAAGTTATTCTATGTTCTTCCCAACCCCAAGAAAAAAGCATTACAAAAGGATTCTAAACGGTTTGCAAAATACTCCAAAGCTCTGAAAATATACATAAAGTATGTTAGGGTAGCACCCAAAATTAACTTAAGTAATGTCAGTTTGCCTCTACTAAAAGAGTTTTATCCTTCCAATTCGAAAGTATAGAAGTAAATTTATGGATCATATCATCCCATGAAGCAATATTATATATATATATATATATATATATATATATATATATATATATATATATATATTACCACTCACTGTGTAACCTAAATAATAGAACAATGTTTTACTAGGAACATAACTAATAGAAACTGTCACATCCTCCCCTACCAAAAACTAAACTCCAAAACCCATCCTGAGGCCAGAAGGTAAGGAAAAACAATGTAGAAGTCTCAATAACATAATTTAATCATTTCAGAATATAAAGTGATCGTTATAAAAAACAATTAAGTAAACAATAAAAGTCTAATTAACTGAGACATTCGTTTATTCAAGATAAATTAAAACATACATTTGTTCCCAAACAAACATTGTTTAACAATACCAATACTTTATGTTCTAAACATAAATAATAAACCAAACTCCGAGAGTGAAATTTCAACTTACTTGTGCTCGGCTGCTAATTGCTCTTCTTGAATATATGTAAGCATTTTCAAATATTACGTAAACATTAAGTGTCAAGTACATGAGTGTTAAATGAAAAGTATAAGTTCTATCTAGTAGATACGTGAATGAGTAGTATGGCTAGATATGGCCAATCCTACTCAGATAAGAGGGATAATTCCTCTTCCACTGTTATGTTTCTCTATAGTAGAAACAAGAGCAATCTATATGGGCCTAAATATATCATTTCCATGAACTTTTTGTTACACCCCCAAACCAGAACGGCGGAATCGTTCGAGGATGGATGATTTCATGTAGTATCGTAACAGTTGAATACATAGTAAAGAAAGTAAAACAACCATCATATATATATAATTTAAAAGTTACATTATTGAATGATACTTGTTTCAAAACAAATTACAATATGATGACAAAATGAGTTTTGAACTGACGTCATAGCATCACTTCTCCAAAAGCTGAAGTTTACCTGTATTACTAAATCCCTGAGAAATACAAGTAAGTTTGAAAGAGTAGATCGACATTTAAGCTGGTGAGTTCATAAGTATTTAATGTTAATGTTTGTATATATTTGAATGAAATTGTTTGTAGATGTTTGAAAACTCCTAGAAAATCCCATATTTACTACTAGTATAAATGTAGTCTCCTACCAAGACCCAACTGTTTGAATGTTTGCTTCTAGAAATCAAATATTTTTCCATAAGTGTGTGGTAGTTTAAAAGTTCCAAAAATGTAATGAAATAATGTTTTTCATGCCTAGGATAGTAGATTTATGTATATAAAATAACTAAGGAATTTGAACACCCCGTAAATCAACGTGTTTTTTAATACTCCATGTGAGTTTTATAACCATGTTATTGACCCAGATTGCCTGTAACAACGTTTTTCAGGTGTTGGAAGGTTATGACATTTGTCATCCCAGACATACCGGTCTAATTGTAGCCAAAATAATATGGGCTGAGACCGGATGATATGAGTTGCTACCGAATGATATGGGTTGGGCCATCACATGTATGTTTGGTTGGGCCCATTCTTATTTGATATATAGTATTTTGGGAGAACTCAGTAAGCCATGTACTTACGGTTTATATTTCAAATGTTTTCAGGTACCTTTTGTTTAAAAAAGGAAGGGTTCGGCTTGATCGCACTGCATCCCCTGAAGATTTATTATGCATTAACTGTTTATGATTTTATTCTGATTTTTTGAGAATACTTTTACTCTGATCGTTTTTGAAAAAAAGAAACGAATTATTTGGACTTATTTTAAAATGAAATTTTTACTCGGTATTTGTAGGACGTTATAGATAATTTGAGAGATTTATCCTGATTTTTTCTTATTTAAATATATTTATTTTTATAAATAAATGATCAGTTATTATAAAAAATATTAGTATAAAAATACTACTATTTTGTTATTTTGTTTTAAAAATAAAAGTATGTAGTTTGAGTAAAAGTTAAAAGTATATTTCTATTTTGATTTCAGAATACAAATAAATTTTTGTCTTCAATTAAAAAAAAACAGTGCAAACTATTGATTTTAAAAATATTAACTGAAATACAACAAAATAAAATTCAACTAATTCGTTTAATTGGTATGGTTAAAAGTTAAATATGTAAAAATACGATAAGTTTTTTATTTTTTTTAATAAAATTATTTAGTTGTATCAAATTTTGAACATACTCTTTATGTAAAAGACATAAATTTTTCAATGCAAAATAAAAAACTTTTGTTAGCTAATAATAAAAAACTTAAATGCTTATAATCACTTTAGCCTCTTTTTTCACTTACAACATCCTAACATAACTAACCATATTAAGAAATTAAGATAGATCTCTCAAATTCTGTCATGTAAGAATTAAAAATAAACAAAAATTATGTTCTATAATTTAGGCAAAGAAAATATAAAATAAAAATATTTAAGTATGTATTTTAATATAACTATTTTAGATAAAGTTTAGATAGCATATATTAAATAAAATGTATCTCCATGGTGATTAATGTTCTATTTTTATTTATATAAATACTACATTTTATATGTTTTAGTTTAAAGTAATTACACGAATCGTTTCTCGTGCAATTGATAAAAGACATGTTCGGTCTTTAATTTCAAAAATTAACTCGAACCGTCCTTCATTTGTTTAAACCTGCACATTTAATATAAATACTACATTTTATATGTTTTAGTTTATTGACTTTTTTATTTGATTTACGATAATCAATGCAAAATAAAATAGATTTTTTAAAATATTTTTTTTTATAAATGTTTCTTATACGGATATGGGGAGTTGACGTCTCTCTCTTTATCTCTCTCATACATAATGATCATGTAACTTTTGATTTAATAATAATAAAATACCTAAAAAAGAAAGAAAATTAGAAAATAAATACAATAATGACAAGATAGTGATTTCAATTTTAAGTGAAACCAAATCAACAACAAAATTTGTTGGAAAAGACTATGTTTCTCAATTTGAAATTTAAAGTGTCAAATCTCTAAAAAATGCAAACCAAAAATATTGTTTTTGCATTTTGTCTAAATATAAACAAATCGTATGATAAGATTCCACAGTAAAAAAAAGATTGAAAAGTTGGAGGTGTAATATATACCATTGACTTTTATGCATTGGGCTGGATGGGGTGGGAGCGGGGAAGGGTGGTGGGGGGGGGGGGG